TGGGATCATCACACAAAGGACCATCTAAAAAGCTCATTATCACTCATGCAAACAGCAGAATTGTGTATATTTTGTGGATTAGATATGTTTTTCATATCGTTTAAGTACTTTTCCTTGTAAAATATGGTCACAACTTTCTTGTAATAATTGCTTTATCTAAATGGCACAAATATCGGGATGTTGTATGCCTTATTATCAAGAAAATGATTATTGTTTCTACTATTTTAAGTGTCAAGGTCTTATCACACTCTTTTGATTAGTACTGTTATTACTTTTAATAATTATCAACATATATATCATTGCAGCAATTATCATGATCAGAAGCAAAATCAACATCATCATCGTCACTACAATCATTATTGTTGCTATTATTACTATTATTACTATTATTATTATTATTATTATTATTATTATTATTATTATTATTATTATTATTATTACTATTATTATTATTACTGTTATTGTTATTGTCATTATTTTTATCATTTTTATCATCATAATTATTATTATTATTATCATTATTATTATCATCATCATTATTATTATCATCATTAATAATTATTGTCACTGACATTATTATTATCTTAATTATCACTATTATCATTGGTATTATCATTACCATTATATTATAATTTTTTATTATTATTATCATAATTGTTGTTGCTGTTATTATTATTGCTATCAATATTAACATCATATTAGTTATTATTATATCACTATCATCATAATTGTTATTATCATTATTATTACTATTATTATTATTATTATTATTATTATTATTATCATTATCATTTTTTAAATTATTATTATTATTATCATTATCACTATTATTATCATTATTATTATTACTATTATTATTATTATTATTATTATTATTATTATTATTATTTATTATTATCATTATTATTATATATTATCATTATTATTATTATTATTATTATTATTATTATTATTATTATTGTTGTTGTTATTACAGTTACTATTATTATTATTATTGTTATTACTATTACTATTATTATTATTATTATAATTATCATAAATATTACTATTATCACCATCATCATTATTCTTATCATTACTATTACTATTATCTTCATTATTCTTATCATAATCATTATTATAATAATTCTTTGTCTTCTCTTTATTAGTATTGTTATCATTGTGACTATTATGATCATAATAGTTATTGTTATCAGCCTTATTATTATTATTGTTATTGTTATTATTATTATTATCATTATTATTGTTATTATTATTATTATTATAATTATTACTATCATTATTATCATTATTATTGATATTATCCTTGTCACTTCTATTATCATTATCATCATTGGGATAATGATAATCTCATTATCATCATTATCATCATTACTATTATTATTATTGTTACTATTATTGTTATTACCATTATTTTTATTGCTTTCTACTTATTATCATCATTATCCTTACTATCTTTATTATTATCATCATCCTTACTATTATTGTCATCTCTATTATTATTACTATTACTATCATCCTCTTTATCACAATCAATAGTATTATTATTATCATTGTTGTTATCTTTCATTATCATTATCATTATTGATAATAATTTCTCGTAATTTTTATCTTTATGTCTACCACTATTATCATTATGATTGCATATTAATTGTCGAACTATTAGGGAGTTTGGTGAATTGACATTTAAAAATAAAATACATTGATTGGCTGTTACTTAGACAAACAGACAGCAGAACAGACAGACAGGAAGAGAGAGAACATCGAGAAAGGATCCAAAGGCGGCGAGGGAAAGGCGAGCAGAAGAGGAACCGAAATCCGAAAGGGAGAAAACCGGTTCACCTTTCTCGGGCGCGGATTGGTGGAGGCGGGAAGGGAAAGGAGCCAATCATCAGAGCGGAACATGCATCGTCATCCAATCACCGCTATTCTAATTGATCTCGATATTATAGTTGTGACGTGATTGGAGGATTTGAAAAAAAAGATGGGATGAGGTCGTCTTACATGTTTTTCTTCTTCTTTAATGAAGAATGATTTCAGAGTGCGTTTATTATTTATGCAAAGTATATAATATTATCTTGCATGAAATATGAAAATCGTTTTGTGGTTTCCATCAACTTCCTTGAATATTCTATGCATTAATCATTCACATACCAAGCTGTCTAAAATTTCCCCCGTTATTCAAAACACTCCATATCATATAAAGAAAAAAAAAAGTCGAAAGAGATTTTTTAGGGAATCTTCGTTAGAAGTGATAAAGAGATCGGTGTCAGTGCCATTCGTTAAGTGTAGATCAACTTTCCGTCGCTCCGCCTCTCCTCGACGCAATTCGCTTTCACGCTCTCGCTTCCTTCCAGCACGAAGTAACATTGCATGTGGTAGGTTTCACGAAGGGGAATAATAAAGCGAGAGAGAGAGAGAGAGAGAGAGAGAGAGAGAGAGAGAGAGAGAGAGAGAGAGAGAGAGAGAGAGAGAGAGAGAGAGAGAGAGAGAGAGAGAG